GACCCAAGCCTGCAATCCCTAGGTTCCTGCCAGGTCACCTACTTGTTGTGTCTGATGCTGCCCTGAGATGGGAGTTTCCCTGCGGGGAAGGGACTGTTGGTGCAACAAAAACAAGTGGGAACAGAATAGCTGGTACTCCGGCCAGTGGGTGTTTGTGATCTAGTTGGCACAGGCTGTCTGTGCACCGGGACCCTGCAAATCCCAGCTGGTTTGCAGGGCTGAGGGCTTCCACAGAAATCTCTCTGCTCCATGGGCACCAAATGGCTCCTGGAGGAGGTGGTTAAAGGAAAGTCACCAGACACCCTGTCATAACCATAGGGGTAGCCTACATTCCTCCTTACCTGTAAGGGGTTAAGAAGCTCAAGTAACCTGGTTGGCACCTGACCAAAGGAACCAATGGGGACAAAAGATACTTTCAAATCTGGTGGTGGGGAGAGGTTTTGTTTTTGGGTTCTTTGTTTCTGTGGCCGTTCACTCTTGGGACTAAGAGGGACCGGACATCAATCCATGTTCTCCAAATCTTTCTAAACAAGCCTTTCATATTTCAGACTTGTAAGTAACAGCCAGGCAAGGCGTATTAGTTTACCTTTGTTTTCTCAACTTGTGAATTTTCCCTTTGCTGAGAGAGGTTTATCCCTGTTTTGTTGTAACTTTGAAACTAAGGCTAGAGGGGGTTCCTCTGTGCTCTTTGAATTTTCTGCTACTCTGTAAGGTTAACTACCAGCCTAACTTTACAGAGGTGATTCTTTTACCTTTTTCTCTTTAAATAAAATCCTTCTTTTTAAGAACCTGACTGATTTTTCCATTGTTCTAAGACCCAGGGGTTTGGGTCTGTAGTCCCTTTGTAACCAATTGGTGAGGATATATGCTCAAGCCTTCCCCAGGAAAGGGGGTGTAGGCTTGGGGGAATATTTTGGGGGAATAGGACTCCAAGTGGTCCCTTCCCTGATTGTTTGTTAAACCACTTGGTGGTGGAAGTGACCGCAAGGCAAGAAAGGAATCTGTGCCTGGGGGAAGTTTTAACCTAAGCTGCTAAGAATAAGCTTAGGGGGTCTTTCATGCAGGTTCCCACGTCTGTACCCTAGAGTTCAGAGTGGGGAGGGAACCCTGACATGGTGGCAGCGGTCCCAAGGCAAGAAAGGAATTTGTGCCTTGGGGAAGTTTTAACCTAAGCTGCTAAGAATAAGCTTAGGGGGTCTTTCATGTGGGTCCCCACATCTGTAGCCTAGAGTTCAGAGTGATGAGGAAACCCTGACACACACCTTGAAAGTTTCCTGAATGAAACCCCAGTGCTCTGTCTCTCAGAACAGCCCAGCCTGTTCTGGTTCTAAAATCCTGTTTTCTTCTCTCTGCTTCAAAACCAAGCTCCTCTGGGCCCTCACACCTGTTCTCACCCCCCTAGACTAACACACCCCCATCTTTGAAGAGCTCTCCCTGGCTTCTCTTTGCACCCAGCTGGGCTCTGCAGACAGAGCGTTATCGCCACCTGCTGGCAAAACCCAACCATTGCTGCACCCTCACAGGTACCCATCTCCACAAACATGCCCTCAGCTCTCCCGTCAGATCTGCCCTCCTGTGACCCACCCCCCTCCAGCTCCACACACCATCCTCCCCCACAAATCCCTCTTCTGCATTCCCTGCCAGCCCCAGAGCCCAGCGCTCACAGCTGGCCCCCAGCCCACTCTGCGATGGCCTTGGCTGGGGTCAGGGTGGGGGGTGTAGTGAGACCCTGTCAGCGACAGGCCTCAACATTCCTGTGACTCAGCGTCGCCCCACATCCCCCGTCTATGGCACAGGGTTAGAGCAGGACTCCAGCCCCTGAAACGAGTGGAGACGGTGCTCAGTCAGGCTTTGGGGGGGCACTGGCAGAGCTGTGCGAGGAATGCAGGGCTGGACAACGGAGGGCTGTGGGTCAGGATTGAGGGCCTCCAGCAAAGCTGCTGGGGGAGGATGGACCCCAGGACTGGGATAGCAGGGGGCTGCAGACCAGGATTCAGCAGCACTGACAGAGCTGTTGGGTGGGGAGCAGACAGCTGCGATAGCAGTGGGCTGCCGGCTGTGGGTTAGGATTGAGCTCAAGAGGGAAAATTTGGGTTTTAATGTGAAGGTTCCTCTTTGATCTCAGCCTCGGCCTGTTCACTGCCCACACGTGATGTAAACCTGCCCTTTTACTACAGTCGAACCTCAGAGTTACGAACTGACCAGCCAACCACACACCTCAGTGGGAACCAGCAGTACACAATCCGGCAGCAGCAGAGACCAAAAAAAAAAAAAAGCCAATCCAGTGCGGTGCTGTGTTAAACGCAAATTACTAAAAAACAAAGGGCAAGTTTAAAAAAAGACTTGACCAGGTAAGGAAACTGCCTGTGCTTGTTTCATTTCAATGAAGATGATTACTTCTGCCTAGTAAAGTTTCAGAGCTGCATTAGGCCAATGTTCAGTTGTAAACTTTTGAAAGAACCAGAGTTATGAACCCCTCCCTTAAATCATAGAATATCAGGATTGGAAGGGACCTCAGGAGGTCATCTAGTCCAACCCCCTGATCAGAGCAGGACCAACACCAACTAAATCATCCCAGCCAGGCCTTGTCAAGCCTGACCTTAAAAACCTCTAAGGAAGGCGATTCCACCACTTCCCTAGGGAACCCATTCCAGTGTTTCACCACCCTCCTAGTGAAAAAGATTTTCCTAATATCCAACCTAAACCTCCCCCACTGCAACTTGAGACCATTGCTCCTTGTTCTGTCATCTGCCACCACTGAGAACAGTCTAGATCCATCCTCTTTGGAACCCCCTTTCAGGTAGTTGAAAGCAGCTATCAAATCCCCCCTCACTCTTCTCTTTTGCAGACTAAACAATCCCAGTTCTCTCAGCCTCTCCTCATAACTCATGTGTTCCAGTCCCCTAATCATTTTTGTTGCCCTCCGCTGGACGCTTTCCAATTTTTTCACATCCTTCTTGTAGTGTGGGGCCCAAACCTGGACACAGTATTCCAGATGAGGCCTCACCAGTGTCAAATAGAGGGGAATGATCACGTCCCTCGATCTGCTGGCAATGCCCCTACTTATACATCCCAAAATGCCATTGGCCTTCTTGGCAACAAGGGCACACTGTTGACTCATATCCAGCTTCTCGTCCACTGTAACCCCTAGGTCCTTTTCTGCAGAACTGCTGTCGAGCCATTCGATCCCTAGTCTGTAGAGGTGCATGGGATTCTTCCGTCCTAAGTGCAGGACTCTGCACTTGTCCTTGTTGAACCTCATCAGATTTCTTTTGGCCCAATCCTCTAATTTGTCTAGATCACTCTGGACCCTATCCCTACCCTCCAGCGTATCTACTTCTCCTCCCAGTTTAGTGTCATCTGCAAACTTGCTGAGGGTGCAATCCACACCATCCTCCAGATCATTAATGAAGATATTGAACAAAACCGGCCCCAGGACCGAGCCTTGGGGCACTCCACTTGATACTACCCGTTGAGCCCGACAATCTAGCCAGCTTTCTATCCACCTTATCATCCATTCATCCAGCCCATCCTTCTTGAACTTGGGCTGGCAAGAATACTGTGGGAGACCGCAGCAAAAGCTTTGCTAAAGTCAAGGAATAACACATCCACTGCTTTCCCCTCATCCACAGAGCCAGTTATCTCATCATAGAAGGCAATTAGATTAGTCAGACACGACTTGCGCTTGGTGTGTCCATGCTGACTGTTCCTGATCACTTTCCTCTCCTCTAAGTGCTTCAGAATTGATTCCTTGAGGACCTGCTCCATGAGTTTTCCAGGGACAGAGGTGAGGCTGACTGGCCTGTAGTTCCCAGGATCCTCCTTCTTCCTTTTTCTAAAGATGGGCACTACATTAGCCTTTTTCCAGTCGTCCGGGACCTCCCCCGATTGCCATGAGTTTTCAAAGATAACTTCACGCGGTGCCCGTAACTCTGCGGTTCTGCTGTACGTGTGTAACCCCCACACGTCCTGGGTGTGCTGTTCTGTCCCATCTAGTGGCACTGAGACCACTTAGAGCACTGGTTCTCAAAGTTTTGTACTGTGACCCCTTTCACACAGCAAGCCTCTGAGTGCATCCCCCCCTTATAAATTAAAACCACATTTTTATATATTTAACATTATAAATGCTGGAGGTAAAATAGGGTTTGGGGTGGAGGCTGACAGCTCGTGACCCCCTGAGGGGTCCTTATCTCCAGTTTGAGAACCCCTGACTTACAGAGAGAGTGAGAGAAAATGAGTCTGCTCTACAGCCTTAGCTAACAGCCAGGTGGCTTTTAGCTCATGTGTAGAGGCTCCAGGTTCGATCCCACCTGACGACAACTGGGGTCTGTCAGGGTTACACATGTTCTCAGGAGAGCTGAATTTCCAGACTCAGCATTGTCTCCCTCACCTTCCTGACATTACAGTGGGGATGTTTGCGGTCCCAGGGTGTGCTACCCATAGTGGTGTGAGGACCCAGGCACATGGGCTGCGACAAAAACATTTTCATATTGCTTGAAACACTGTGACAGTGTGTCTCAGCCGGGGGAGCCGGGAGGGCCACGTCCCCCCGACTTGTTACCAAAAGAACCATGCCTTGGGGCAGGCGGGTGGGCTGCCCGGGGCACCTGGCACAGCGCAGCCCTGGGCAGCGGGTGCTGCGACATGTTGGCCTGGGAGAGGGGAAATTTTAAAAAAATGCTTGCACCCTATTTTTGCAAACCCAGCAGGTGCCCCTCCCCCATGCCACGGCTTTGCCCCCTGCCACTCTCTGGTCTGAACCTCATCCCTGGGCTGAACCCCCGGGTCCTGTTCCCCCCTGGCCCCTCTCCTGCCCCTGCCTCCAGCTGCTTCACCCCCCCACCCCCCAGACCCTGCCCATCCTCCCCACTCCAAGTAAGGGCAGAGCGAGGGCAGCGGCTTCAGCAGGTGTTACCGAGCATGCTCGGTCCAGATGCGCATGCTCAGTACAAGCCAACCGCCCCGTCTGTCTGGGGGCCTATGGGGTGGGGACTACAATTCCCAGCGTGCCTTGGGGCGGGTGGAAGAGGGAAGATGGCCGAGTATCTGGCCTCCATCTTCGGCACCGAGAAAGACAAGTGAGTGGGGGGAGGGGGGCAAAGGTCAGATGACCAGAACTCCTGGGTTCTCTCCCTAGCTGGGGGGCTGGGAGTCAGGACTCCTGGGTTCTCTCCCTGGCTGGGGGGCGGCTGGGAGTCAGGACTCCTGGGTTCTCTCCCTAGCTGGGGGCGGGGTGGGAGTCAGGACTCCTGGGTTCTCTCCCTAGCTGGGGGGCGGGGGTGGGAGTCAGGACTCCTGGGTACTCTGCCTGGCTGGGAGTTGTGGGGGGCTGGGAGTCAGGACTCCTGGGTTCTCTCCCTAGCTGGGGGCGGGGTGGGAGTCAGGACTCCTGGGTTCTCTCCCTGGCTGGGGGGTTGGGGGGGGCTGGGAGTCAGGACTCCTGGGTTCTCTCCCTGGCTGGGAGGTCGTGGGGGGGCTGGGAGTCAGGACTCCTGGGTTCTCTCCCTGGCTGGGGGGTTGGGAGTCAGGACTCCTGGGTCCCAGACACTCTGCGGGTTGCTGGCACCACCAGCCCCTCGCTCACTAAACGTCTCTGGCCCTTTTCCAGGGTTAACTGCTCTTTTTACTTTAAGATCGGGGCTTGTCGGCACGGAGACAGGTGTTCCCGCCTCCACAACAGACCCACCTTCAGCCAGGTGAGCCTGACAGTGGGGCTCCGGGGCGCAGAGTCTGGAGGATCAGGAAACCACCACCTCTGGGACGGGGCGGGCAGGGAACAGCCACACATAACGCCACATGGGGACTGCTCACCTGGCGCTGGGACACGGCCATCTTCGGGCGGGGGGCAGCTGGGGAACACGGACACCTCACTGTGTCTCCATCTCCATTTGTAGACCATCGTCCTGCTGAATCTGTATCGGAACCCACAGAACACGGCCCAGTCGGCAGACGGCTCGCACTGTGAGTACCCGATACCCCCTCCTGGCCCAGCTGCATGAGACACGGTCTGGGGAAGTGTATGGCCTCCCAGCCCTTCCCGTCCCTTAACGCCCTTGTTGGGCCTCCGTCCATGGTCCTGGGCACCACCTTGCTTGTGAGGAAGCTCGGTGCCTCCTTCTGGAGACGCCCCTCACTCCTGGCGACAGGAGGCACAGGGGGTACCGCATGCAGCTTGCCCATTGTCCGACAGCATAGTGAGTCTGTGTCTCTCTCCTCCAGGTCATGTCAGCGATGTGGAAGTGCAGGAGCATTATGATAATTTCTTTGAGGTAAGTCACTGAAAGCAAGCTAGGAATAGAACCCAGGAGTCCTGGCTCCCCCCTCCCAGCTCTAACCGCTAGGCCTCACTCCCCTCCCAGAGCTAGGATAGAACCCAGGAGTCCCGGCTCCCAACTCCCCCCACTCTACAACCAGCAAACTCCACTCCCCTCCCAGAGCTGGGAATAGAAGCCAGAAATCCTGACTCCATCTCACATCAGGCAAGCCATCCTGATGTGGTATCACTGTGCGGCTGTTCCCCAGCTGCCCTGCCCCAGAGGTGGCTGCATCCCAGGGCCAGGCGACCCATTCCTGTGCAGCATTATGTGCGGCTGTCCCCCAGCTGCCCTGCCCCAGAGGTGGCTGCATCCCGGGGCAGGTGACTCGTCTCTGTGCAGTGTCGCTGGGTATTCGCCCCATGAAGCTCATTCTGTCCCTGTGCCAGGAGGTCTTCACGGAGCTAGAGGAGAAGTATGGGGAGATAGAGGAGATGAACGTTTGTGACAACCTCGGGGACCACCTGGTCGGCAATGTCTATGTCAAGGTAACCGCCAGGCCCTGCCCTGAGGCCGGATCAGGGCCAGCGCCTCCTGGAAGGGAAAGGCCCAGTGCCCCATTCCTCCCACCCTCCCCAAGCACCTAGAGGCAGGCCCTTTTGACTCTCGTTCCTCCCCAGTTCCGGCGGGAGGAGGACGCCGAGAGGGCCGTGGGGGAGCTGAACAATCGCTGGTTCAATGGCCAGGCCGTGCGGGCCGAGCTGTCCCCAGTCACCGACTTTCGCGAGTCCTGCTGCCGCCAGTACGAGATGGGGTAAGTGACCGGACACAGGGATGGCACCTCTGGGACTCTGCCCTCGTTAACCCCTCAGGGATCACCCTTTCTGGCTGGTACCTGCTGGGCGCCCAGGCCCCATAATCCCTCGGGATCACCTCTCCCCAGGAAGGTACCTGCCAGTCACCCCAGCCCTCTAACCCCTCAGGGACCCCCCTCTCCCCAGGCCAGTACCCGCCAGGCTCCCTGGTCCTGTTAACCCCTTGGGGACCTCCCCTCCCCAGCAAGTACCCACTGAGCGCCTGGACCCCATTAACCCTTGGCAGTGTTCCCTCTCATTTTTTCCACCCATGTGCGGAATGAATTTTGTGTGACACGTCCCCTCCATATTGGCGCACCTAACAAAATTCATGTGGTGGGGTGGGGTTGAGGGATTCAGAGTGTGGGAGGGGGCTCAGGGCGGGGGCAGAGGGTTGGGGGGCTGGGAGTGTGGGCTCTGGGGTGGGGCTGGAGATGAGGAGGGGTTTGGGGTGCAGTGGGGCTCCCTGGGGCTACCGTGGGGAGAGAGGACTCCCCCCATCTCTTTGTCCCCACAGCAGCACCTGGGCTGGTGGGGAGAGGTGCCTTTCCCCCAGCCGCAGCAGGTCCGGGCGGGGCGGGGCACGGCGCCTGTCCCCCAGCCGCAGCAGGTTCGGGGCCGGGGGAGGTCTGGGCCTTGGGGAGAAGCATTTCTCCCTGTCTTAGCCCTAAGCACCTGTGTGGCACTTAATAGGCAGCTGTGTGGCCACGCAGGGAGGGAACTGAGAGCCTTGGGGATTCCTCTCCCCAGGTAGGTACCCACCAGGCGCCCAGGCCCCGTTAACCCTTGGGGATCCCTCTCCTCAGGCAGGTACCCGCCAGGTACCCCGGCCCTGTTAACCCTTCAGGGTCAGTGCCCCCTGGGCAGCACCAGCTGCCACAAGGTGCCCCCATCGCCGACCGTCACACCCTTGCTCTCTGCCCCCCAGGGAGTGCACACGTGGAGGGTTCTGCAACTTCATGCACCTGCGGCCGATATCCCGAGAGCTGCGCCGGCAGCTCTACGGGCAGAGCCGGCGCCGGCGGTGAGTGGGGGTAGGGGGCCTGGGCTCCTGGGGCGTGACTGGAGGGCAGGGGCAGCTCTGCAGTGTCAGCTGCTGTCCCGGAGCAGGGGGGCACAGGGGTCCTGCGGGGGCAGGGTAGGGAAGTCCCTGGGCTGTACAAATGAGGTTGTGGGGTGCTGGGGCAGAATGGGTAGCAGGGGTCAGGGGTGCTGGGTGAATGATGATGGCAGGAGGAGGTATAGGGGCTGAGGGGCAGTGCCCCCGAGAGGGAGCTCAGGAGGGAAGAGAGGGTGACACAGCACCCCCTGGGGGGCAGGGGGAGCTCTAGGGGCCGGGGGGTGACGCAGCGCCCCCTGGGGTCTGGCCATGGCCATACTGACTTTGTTCTCTCCCCCAGAGCCCCATCCCCCTCGCGCTCCCACGACCGGCCCCGGGGCAAGAAACGCCAGCGCTCACCTGACCATCGCTATGGACGCTTCTGACCCCTCCCCGGGCTCCTTGCCTTCCCTAGCCTCCCCCAGCCACCAGGTCAGCCCCCCGACCTGCCATAGACCCAGCGGAAGTGCGGCAGCTGGAGCCCCCACAGTGGGAGGGTTTGGGGATCCCTAAGGCCCCTCTCTATTTACATTCTGCTAGTGTAACCCTGCATAGCCCATGATTGTATTGGGCGGGCCTGTCCCCAGCTGTGGAGTCGATAGCACCCAGGCGTCTGGGGAGCAGTGCTCAGGGAGTGATGGTCTGAACTTTCTCCCTCCACCTGTGTGGGATGTAATGATGAGAGTTGGAATACACTAGACATGATCCACCCCACTCCTGTCTGCTTCACTCTGGTTGCAGCATGAACTAGGGGTTAGGTCGATTGGCAGCAGGAGGCGCATTGCCATGGGGAGGGGGCAGGGGACCATTAGGGGGTGCTGTGCTGCAGGGAGCGGGGTTGGGGCACTGTGCTGAGGGGTTGGAGGCATGGCAGGGAGCGCTGTGCTGCGGGGAGTGGGGGGCTGTGCCATGGGGTGGGGGGCATGGCAGGAGGCACCATGCGGCAGGGCTGGGGGCTTGGCAGAGGGCACCGTGCCGTGGGATGGGGGGCATAGCAGGAGGCGTGCCATGCTGGGGGGCGGGGGGGCCATGCTGCAGGGTGGGGGGCATTGTGCTGCAGGGCGTGGGGTGGGGAGCCTTACGCAGGGCAGGGAGCGCAGGAGGGGAACTGAGTCTTGGTTTGCATTTGTCCTGTTGAGTTCCGTTCCCGAAATGAGCTTCGTCCCTGTAAAATGTGTTGTCTTGCAGCTACGTCCGACCTTCCCGCCGAGCCTGGCGCTTCCCCTGGCTAAGCAGGACGCTGCCCGTCTCCGGGCCTGGCTATTTCCCCAGCTGTCGAGCGGCTCAGCCACGAACAAGCGTCTGCATTTTGACCTTTTTAACGGTGTTAGAAAACCGGGCCAGCTGCTTTTCCTTGGTTCTGCGTCCACGCTTTGTACACCGGAGTCGTGTTACGCTGCCAGGTTACTCCGGGGGATTGTGCGCTACTTCGTGTGCGCACAATTAACGAGTCCTGCAGATCGCCAACATTTTGAGCAGAAAGAAGCTGCTGCAGTTTTCTTGCTTCAGTGCCGCCTTTTTCCCACCAGAGGGCGTTGTGGTGCTAGAACAAAGCTGCAGCTCCCCACCAGTGAGGGCAGAGTAAGAGCCGGCCTTCTGCACAGTGCCGGCCAGGCCAGGCCAGGCCAGAAGACAGGGGCTATGGGGAGACAGACCGCGTGGGGTGCTGGGGGGTCAGACAGGGGCTCACAAGGGCTAGTGGGGGAGGACAGACTGGGGCAGGGGCTCAATGGGAGTGGAGGCACAGAGCCATAGTGGGGAGGGAGGTGCAGGGCCACATGGTGATGGGGGGTGGGGGGCAGAGCTACATAGGGACGGGAGAGGTTGGATGGGGACAGAGAGACACATGGGGATGGGGAAGGGGTACAGGGCCACAAAGGGACAGAGGAGGGGTGCAGGGCCACTTGGGGATGGGGGTAGTGGGTGTCTTGAGTGGTGGTGGAGGGACACATAGGGGTGCAAGAACACATGGGGATGGGGCAGATGTGCCTGACTGAATGGGAGAGGCTCGGGGTCAGCCAGGGTCTGCATGAGGGAATCTCCTGAACAGTCCCGCCCCCACCCCCCAAAAAAACCCTCCAAGTTCACACGTAGGCTCCTTCCCAGCAATTTACTTCCCTCTCCCTCAGCAACTCCGTTACACCGGATTCCCCCAAGCTTTTGCACCGCTTCTGAGGAGTGCGGGAAATACGGTTCTGTATTGTCGTTTAAATGAATTATTACTCAGAGGTCTGTATTAATATGCCTAGTAAGGAATCTATTTGTCAAAAAACATTTCCTAAATATTTTCTGTTGTCTGTAGGGTTACAAACATACTTGCTGACAAGTATTTTGAAATAAATGACCAAAAATAATTGAAACTGGTGTGATTATATTGTGTTATGCAGAATTTTAAAACATTGTGTGCAGAATTTTTAATTTTTTGGTGCCGAATTCCCCCAGGAGTAGCAAGGGCAGTTCTGGTAACAAGGCACAAACACAATATTTTCCAAGGGTTTCTTCTTTCTTCAAGAAAACGCCCTTCAATAGGCTGGAGCCAGATGTGAAACAAAACCTTTGGCCTTTAAAACGACCTGCTGCAGTAAGTGTGAACTGCATGTAGTGACTGCGGGGACTGGGCGCTCGATGAGCCAGGTTTGGAGATCTAACAAGGTGGGTAATTATAAACCTTTGCTTTTTAGCTAGCACTTCCCAGCAGCGCATCTCCAAACTTGTCACAAAGCTGGCCTGTTACGACACTGGGGTTGGTGTTTAACTGTCACGCTGTCCGAGGTGGCTCCCGCAGATTGTCACAAGCAGAGCAGATACCCCCAGGCTGGTGGTGTGGTCTGTAATTAGATTTCCCTGATCCAGTAACAGATGAGAGCGCCTGGATCGTGGCACCCGTCTCACCATAGAGTCCCAGACAGTCTGTGGGTTCTCCATTCTGTCTCGCCACCCAGACAAGCTGGACTTCGTGATCAATGGTCACTGACACATTCATGTCACGTCTGGTCCCAAGAGACTGCTCACCCCAGATCCATGGGACCCTATATCAGTGGGTTTCAGCCTGTGTCCGCAGATGTTTTGTGGGCCGCAGACTATCCAAACTCCATTCAAACTTTTTTAGGGGTCTGCAGATGAAAAAAAGGTTGAAAACAACTGGCCTAGATCTTCCCCCAAAGAGGATGTCTATAGTCTATTACAGGATCAGCCATCTATTAATTAGGAATGAGCGAGTTATTTACAAGTTAAAGCAAACCTATGTATGTTGGCAGGGGTCTAGCTCCCTCCTCCCTTTCAGTTCCCAGACCCACTTTGCCGAAAAATAGCTGTCCAGAGTCCCGTTTGCAGGCAATTGGATGGGTTTATTGGGGCTAAACAAACAATCTTCTTCCGAAGCCCATCGCACCAGTCGGGCTATCGCTAGACACCGATAGTTTTCCTCTTCCTCTCCCCCAGCTACAGTTCTATAAGCTGCCAGAACCCCCTTCTTCTCCTGACCCCGAGCTTTGCCCGCCGACCTTGGCAAACATACTTCTACTGGTAGTGCCCCTCCCCGCTACCTCCCCTTTCCATACATAGTCGTGTTCTGTTCTGGGGGGTCCTGAGGCTGGGGTCGATAAGACTGCCTCTTTTGTACCTGAGGCGAGGGGTAAAGAGCAGGGATTCTTTTGGTCACGGTCACTATTCTGCAGCCTCTGCGTCTCCTCCTTACACCCTCCCCTGCCCTCCAGCTACTTGGTAACCGTTGCAACCCCTTACTCCATTAGCCCCTTATCTTCCAGGGTACCAGCTGTGGGGGGAAGAAGCGGGGGGCAGCCTGGTGCTTTCACTTACATTCTCTTACTTGTTTATTTAGCCTGTTTAAAGCAAAGCCAGAAGCAAGGTTATTATTGTTTAGTCTCTACCCTATTTACTTTACATTCTCCTAACAACCGACACACTGATGAGTTACCATCTGATCTGAAGAGTGACTGAGGTTGTAGTGATCTGTCTTTTGGGGTGGATCCCCTGGGATCTCTGGCTTCAGTGAGAGCCTCTGGCCCTGTCGGAAGTGCCCAGATGGAAATTGTTCCTGTGACTTTCTTTGATTTCCTTCATTCAGCTTCTAAGCTTCCCTGCACAGAGCAGTTCTCCGGTGGGACAATCCTTCGCATTGCAAAACGTTTTCAGAGGTTTAAAGCAAAACTCATGTCTTTCCTTCTCGCCGGGAATACCGACATTGCAAGTGAGATGAACCCAGGCAGCAATTTACGAGCATGTCATAGAGGCTAACCACTAAATCCGTCCTCATTAGACTAATACCTATTCTGGGCAAAACTAGCAAACAGGTGACCTGGTCTGGGCTTCAGCTATGAGTCCGTTAGGTCTTCGCTAATGCCTGCAGCCTGTGCGTGGGCTGGCAGCTGGCCTGCCAGCGTCACGAATGTAACTTGGGAATCTGTGAAATTTCCACAAGGCGACTATCTGCACTTTTTGATTCTTACACCCCTGTCGAACTCTGGCCTTGTGGCTTTGCAGAACTTGTAGCTCTCAGTTTCTCCCGACTGCTCTGGATTCACAGAAAGAGGGAAAAGAAGCTTCTGGCTTTTTCAGCTCCCAAGCAGTGGTGCGATTTGGAATGAACTGGGCCCAAAAGACAAAAAATGTGCCCTTTGCACCTGCCCCATAAACTGCATCCCAAATGCTGATGGTAAAAAGCTTTTCTCCCCCACAGGAACTGTAACAGCCACAGGGGGATGGCATGCCCAATGCTGAGATGCAGCCACCACTGGTGTGGGGCAGCCAGGGAACAGCCACACATAACGCCACACAGGGACAGCTTGCCCGACACTGAGATGCAGCCACCTCTGAGGGCGGGGCAGCTGGGGAACAGCCGTGCAGCACCAGCCCCAGGCTTATAGGAGTGAGAGCGTTCCACTCAGTGACCTTCATTCTACCAAGAACCATCTCACCCCTTCTCAGTCCTGCCCATTTAGTGTCACTGGCTTTTCCTGCACTCACATCCCATGTATTTTATCTAGATTCATCAACTGCAAGAACCTCAGAGCTGGCCGTGTCTCAGTGCCGGGCGAGCCATTCCTATGCGGCAATACATGTGGCCGCTCCCCAGCTGCCCCCCCCGCCGGCAGAGGTAATTGCATCTCAGGACCTGATGAGCCTTCCCCGTGTGGTGTTCTGTGCGGCTGTTCCCAAGTTACCCTGACCCAGAACTGGCTGCACCTCAGTGCCGGGCAAGCGGTCGCCATGTGGCGTTATGTGTGGCTGTTCCTTGGCTGCCCAGCCCCAGAAGTGGCTGAAGCTCAGCGCCAGGTGCGCCATCCTGTCTGGTGTTCCGTACAGCCGTTCCCCAGCACCCCCGCCCTGGTGGTGGCTGGGTAATCCCCAGGCGGTTCGCAGTGCTGAGTTGACTGGTTATATCAGCCTCAGCTGACTGCTGTTTTTCAAGCTGGCAGGAAGTGTGCAGGGTGGAGACGGGAAATGGGGGACAGGCTGGGGTAGGGGAGGCCAGCACCACAGAGTCCACATGCCTTACAGAGGTGAGCAGTGAAGCAGACACACGTGCAACTCGCCAGCCCAGATGAACGTGGTGGGACAGCAGGAAAGAGCATACACACGCCAGGCAGGGGTGAGAGCCTGGGGACAGCTGGGGCTGGTAGGGGATCGGGGGGGGGGGGGGGCACAGGCTGGTGGGATTATGGAGGGTGTGTGGGGAAGGGGTACAGACTAAAGGGGTGAGCTGGGGGGGAGGGGTACAGGCTGTAGGGGTAGGATTAGTGGGGCGGGGGCTGAAGCAGCCAGGGGGCCTGTGGGGAAGGGATACAGGTGGGGTGGGTTGACGTGAGCTGGGGGGTTACGGGCAGCTGGCTGGGGGCGGGAGGGGTGGAGAACGGGGATTTAAGGACCTGGATGTGGTTGGGCTCAGGGTCAGCTGTGGGGGGTATCAGTAAGGCAGGGGCTGTGGCTGGGGGAGGGAGTAGCTGGGATGTGGGGGGGTTACAGCCCCAGGAATGTGGGGGGTTGGGGTGAGCTGGAAGATGTGGGGGGCTTGTAGGTGAACCCCCCCATCTCCCCTCCCCATATTCCCCCCTCTCCCAGGTCCCAGCACATCCCAGCCCCCCTCCCCTCCCCACGGTCCTTGCCATGCTGCTGCCCCTGCTTCTCTGTCTCCTGCCGCCCCCCGGCGCCTGGGCGAGGGCCCGGGGCTCCCTGTCCAGAAAGTGCGGCCACCTGCAGTATTGGCACCAGGAGGTCCAGGCCTGCGTCCCCTGTGAGATCGGCTATGCACACCTGGTCCCGCTGCGTGGTGAGTGGGAGGGCAGAGAGGGGTCAGCAGGGGGCACCATGCTTCGGGGTGGGGGGCTCATCAGGGGGCACCATGCTGTGGGGTGGGTGGCTTGGTAGGGAGTGCTGTGGGGTGGTCAGCAGGGGGCCCTGGGGCGCGGGGGGGGGGGGAGCGCCGTGCTGCAGGGAGCGGGGCGGGGGCTCTGTAGGGGGCGTTGTGCTGTGAGGAGGGTGGTCAGCAGGGGGCCCTGGGGCGCGGGGGGGGGGAGCGCCGTGCTGCAGGGAGCGGGGCGGGGGCTCTGTAGGGGGCGTTGTGCTGTGGGGAGGATGGTCAGCAGGGGGCCCTGGGGTGCGGGGGGGGGGAGCGCCGTGCTGCAGGGAGCGGGGCGGGGGCTCTGTAGGGGGCGTTGTGCTGTGGGGAGGGTGGTCAGCTGGGGACCCTGGGGCGCGTGCTGTGGGGCACTGTGCCATGGGGCTCTGATCCACTCCACGGTCTCCCCAGGGCAGGAGTTCACCGTGAACTGTGGCATGAGGGACACAGGCGGCCGTTTCGCAACTCCCAGCCAGGCGTGTGCCCCCCGGTCCTTCAACAATGGGCAATTCCTGCTGTGCCAGCCCTGCTCCCAGTGCCCGCCCGGCACCCAGCTCAGCCCCTGCACCCCTCTGCAGGACACCCAGTGCTGCCCCCCCGGGTATGACATGGACCCACCTTGGCTAGAGGAGGGGCTGGGAGTCAGGATGCCTGGGATCAATCCCTGGGCCTGGGAGGGGAGTGGGGTCTAGTGGTTGGGGGGGGTTGGGCACCAGGACACCTGGGTTCTCTCCATGGCGGGGGGAGGGGTGCTGCTCTCTGCCCTGTCCGACTGGCTGCTCTCGGCTCCACAGGCAGCGGTGGGGGCCGGCTGGCAGGTGCCAACCCCGGTGCTGCTTCCCTGACGAGCAGTGTCACCCCGAGGTCCGGGCTTACCTCGACTGCAGCAGCCCAGCGGAGGTAGGTGCCGGGGGTGGGGAGGCCGTATCAGTTAGAGCGGGGGTCTGGAAGCCAGGACTCCTGGGTTCTATTCGGACTTGGGCGGGGGGGGGCGGTGTCAGATGTGTTCATTCCCAATTGCATGGCTCTGCCTTTCAGGCTCCCGGCGCCGAGTCTTCTGCCTCCCCTAGGTCCCCCACTTGGCTTCCGCCTTCAGAGATACCGGGACGCTCTGGCCATGCCCCAGGCTCTGCTTTGGCCCCCACCTCTGGGACCCCTCAGGGCCCTGGAGGGCACGAATCCCGCAGGGACACGGCAGGTATGTGGGGTCTGTCAGCGCCCCAGCTGGGCCAGACCGGGTCTGGAGTCACAGGGAGCTCCCCCCACACCAGTACACCCACCCTGTGCCCACAGCGGCCCCTGCTGGCCAAGGCCAGAGTAGCCAGGAGCTGTCCCCGTGACCCACTGTCGCCCCCTTGCAGGCTATGGTGGGTATGTCGCTCTTCTGATGCTGCTGCTCGTGCTGCTGGCTGGGGCCTTTGCCCTCCTGGTCTGGACACAGCGTGGCCTATGCCCCCACCAGGGTGAGTAGCCAGCCAGCCCCACGGCTGCCCTGCAGCACTGCCCCCCTTCTGCCCATGCTGCAATAGACCCCCAACTCCATCAAGCTCCTCCCGCTGCTGAGAGCCCCCCCACTGCCCATCAGGCTCCTCCCCCATACCCCAGCCTCTCCATCCCCCACTCCCATTCTCATTGAACTCCTGAGGCAGAGACTAGGAGGAGCCTGCCCCCTTGGGAAGGGGTGGGTCTGCTCTGTTCTGCGAGGAGCTCCTTGGAAGAGTGGGAGGGGCCTGCCCCCAGAGAAGGGCTGCTCTAAGCACTAGAAACCCATATCCTGGGGGCAGTGCTGCTTGGACAGCAGGTGGGGCCTAGCCCCTCAGCTGATGCTCCTTGGGGAGCAGGTGGGGGCCTAGTGCCTGGGGGGTGAAGCTCCGCTCCATGAGCGGGGGGCAGGGTTCTGGTAGCTGCTCAGTGCTCCCCTCGGGCTGGGGATCCAGGGCCTCAACCCTCACCACCTCCTTCTGCCCCCCAGCCTCCAGCCCCATGGCTAAGCCCCATCGGCTGCTTCCCCCCCAGAGTACAGACAAGACATCTGGCAACATAGCACCCCCCCGCTGGCCATGCAGGTAGGTGCGGCTCCCTTCCCCCACCAGCCATGCCTACACCCACACCTCCCCGGTCCCAGCTCACCCCCGCTCTGTGCCCCACAGGCCTGTGGGGGGCACCGCTGCAGCACCTGCTGGACAACGTGGACGTGCTGGAGGAGCTGATCATGCTCCTGGACCCCGAGGGCAAGGCCGGGGGGGGGGACCCGGCACCTGGCTGCGCGCTACGGCCTCTCGGCCACCTGGATTGACTACGCCTATTCCCTGCGCAGCACACGCAGCCCCCTGCGCGCCACCCTGGAGACCGTGGCTGCCCGCCAGCCCGATGCCACGCTGGGGCAGCTGGCCGGGCTGCTGGCTGCCCTGGGGCGCAAGGATGCCCTACAGGTGTTGGAAAGGGCGCAGGTGGGGGTGTGAGCTGCCTGCCTGGACTGACGCTCAGACCCCCCCGCCAACCACAGGAAGGAAACAAGCCAGGACCTCGTTCACGTTGCCCTCCGCTCTCTAGCTGCGCAGCCTCACTGCTACAGCCCCCCTCCCCATGGCCCGGGGGAGGGAAGGGGGGCAGGCCACTGGGGTTCCCATCTATCCCCCTCGGCCAGAATCACGGAGAGCACAGGACAGCTGGTTTTCCGCTGCTGGCCTCTTCCCGAGGGGGGCTATGCACCAAGAACCATCAAGGAGCGTCGTTACAGTGAAGGCCAGGACACCTCGGTTGCCAGGGGGCTGGGGGCAGCATTTGCCCCCATGCTAGAGGAGGGTTGAGGGGCAAGCAGCCAGAGGGGCTGCCCTCCCCAACTAGTCTCAGAGCCCATGGTGCAGCCGGTCACATCAAAGGCCAGCAGGAGGCGCCAAAGCCGCACTGAAGACCTTGACACCACCACCAAGCCCAGGAGACCGAGTCTGATGCAGGCCAGGAGCGTTTGAGGCAGAGCATCTGAGTAACTGCCACACTGCAGCAACCCAGGGGGACAGCTCGCCCAGCACAGAGATGCAGCCACCTCCGGGATGGGGCCAGCCCCTGCCATGAACCTGGCCCGAGCAGCAGGCACAAGCCCTGAAGGTGTCTCGGGAGCCAGCGGACGCTGCCCAGTGGAACTCTGCCTGGAGGCGTGAGACGAGGGAGGAACGGAAATATGTCCCAGAGTCGCAGAGCACCCCCTCGGCCAGCATCCTCCTCCTGGTGTCAGAGATGGTGACTTTGGCCAGAGCCAGGTTGAGGCGGCTGGGGAAGCAGCAGGGAGCTGTGGCTGCCCCAGGCCTGAACCAGTGGAACAGAGGAGGCCCTGTTGCAGAGCAGGAGGGAGGAGCTGGGGCAGGCCTTTCCCAGCTGGGGGCAGTGTGCCCAGACCCCCCCTCAACCTCTGGGCATCTCCACAAAGCCCATTTCCTCCCCCCCCCGCATGAGAGCGCCCCCCCTTCCCCAGGCACTTATGCGAGGAAGAGCACAGCATGTGAAAATGACCATTTATTTAAAATTATACCAACGGGGCGGGGCCGGGGGGCACAGGGCCGACTCACCGCTTTAAATAAAAAAGTGCATAGAAAATAAACAGGTTTAGAAACATCTGTACAAATATCTACAGGGTTGGGGGGCCGTTGGGGGGCCTGCCCTGGCCCCCCACCCCCCACTCACACCCTCCCCGTACAAAAAGGAAAACAGCCCCTGGGCCAGAGCTGGGAGTTCAGTCTCAGGAGGCGGCAGCTGGGCAAACTCCCCCCCTCCCCACACACCCCTCATGCCTCTGCTAGTGCAGATCAGCAGGGGGGTTATTGTGCACCCCTGCTCTGGGGGGAACCCCACTAGTCCAGCCCACATTGGGGGCTCTGAAAAAGGGGGCAAGACCCTGTTCCCCAAGGGGCCTGCCCCAAGTCAAGTCTTGCTCCTCCCCGCCCAGGAAAGGGGGTCAATTGAGGGGCAGGAGCCACAAGCTGCCCTGGAACCAGGGGCAGGGGGGGAAAAAAGAGGGAGATCACAGCAGAGGAGTCTGGGGCACCGGGCCCTGCCCCCAGCACTAACACAAGGGGCCCTCCCTCCTCAGGCCAGTGTCTGGGGGGTGCTGAGCAGCTGGGCTCCCTCACCCCCCAAAAACCCAACCCCGGGCTGTTGGGGGCCTGGAAGTGGTCGGGGGATGGGGAGAGGTAGCAGGAAATAGGGGGTCCCAGCGAGGCCGGATCCCAGCCCCCAAAGGCCGGGCCAGGCAGAGCAGGGAGCACTAGTTGAGGAACCGGCGGCAGCGCTTGGCCCCGCAGTTGCAGGGCAGCTTGGAGCCGGCGTCCTCAATGGGGAACTTGTAGTCGTAGGTGAGCTCCTCGCCGCGGAAGATGCGCCGCAGGGCGAAGATCACGATGTGCTTCTGCCCCTCCACGTGGATGACGCGCGAGTAGCAGTTGGGCTCGCACGAGTGGTTGATGAAGCGGGCGGCGTTGCCGTGCATCGTGGCATCCACCACGTCGAAGTCGTCAATGCGGAACATGTAGCAGCCGATGCCCTGCGGGGCGGGGGCGGGTCACGGGAGGCTCCATGGCCGCTGCTGGGCCCCCGAGCCGGCAACCCCCCCAGCCGCTCCTCCGCACCCCCTGAGCCAGCAACCCCCCCCCCCCCCCCCCAGCTGCTCCTCTCCTGCCCCCAGCCACCTCTCCCGATCTCCAGAGCCAGCAAACCCCACCCCCCCAGCCACCCCTCTCCTGCCCCCAGCCGCCCCTCCCGATCTCCCGAGCCTGCAACCCCCCCCAGCTGCCCCTCCCGATCTCCCGAGCCAGCAACCCACCCCCAGCAACCCCCCCTCCGCCACTCCTGCCCCCGCAAGCTGGTAACCCACCTCACCGCAACCCCCACAGCCACCAACCTCCACTCACCTACCCCTCTCCTGCCCTCCCCCAAAGCAGCCCCCTCCTGCCCTCAGCCCCTATGGATCAGGTCCCAGCAGCCCACCTCCTGCTCCCCCAGTGCTGACAACCTCCCCCCACCCCCAAGACAGACTTTCGCAGCGAAGCTCCCCCAGCCCAGCCCCCCCACACCTTGCCATCGTAGTACTTCTCACGCTTGTCGGTCAGCACCGAGCGGATGACGATGCCCGAGTACTCAATGACCATCTCGCCCGCATCAATGGTGCGTTTGCAGAACAGCCCACGCCCGTGGATGGCCGACCTGGGGGGGGGAGGGGGGGGGCACACAGGGTCAGCGCAGGAGCCAGGCCTGAGATCAGAGGCAGCACACTGGGGGGAGGGGGGAAGGCAGGCAGCACTAGCCGAGCACCACAGGGAGGCGCCCCAGGAAGCAGGGCAAGCCAACAGCAAGTGTCCCCAGGGCAAAAAGCAGCAGAGTGAGAGGGGGCGCCAGCTGTAGCCAGATGCCCATTTCTGCCCCCCTGTACATGCCGTGTAAGAGCGGCGCCATGTGCTGGGCCCTGGGATGGGCTTGGGGGGGGGCAGGCGCATTACCTGTACACGCCCACAGCCTCCTTGGAGGTTCTCTTGAGGTGCCGGAAGCGCATGGCCATGGGCAGCTCCAGGCTGGTGGCTCGCCTGGGGAGAGAGCAGGGCACAAAGCGGATCAGAACCGAGCCCACCCAGGGCCCCCGCCAATAGACACAGGGCAGCCCTCCCACAGCTGGACACAGAACCCAGGAGTCCTGGCTCCCAGTCCCCCCCCGCTCCATTACCTGGTGGATTTCAGCTGCACCTCATCCTCTTCCTCGTCATAGGTGCCGCCCTCGGGCAGCGTGCGGTGCTGCGACGCCAGGAAGTTGAACATGTCAAAGGTGCATTTCCTGGGTGAGGGGGGGCGGGAGGGCAGGATTAAAGCACCATCGACCCCTCCCCCCATTCCCACCCACATCCCCACCCCGATCAACCCTGCACCCCCCACCAACCCCCACCCCACTCCTGACAGACCCCTCACTCTCCTACCGGCCAGGTCGCAAGCCCCACTCCCAATGGCATCCTCACCCCAGGGTGTCTCCCCCACTCCCTGAGACCAGACCTGCTCCACCCAGGTCCACGTCCCCTCGGCCCCACCTGACGTAGACCTCGGCGCGGGCGCAGCCACGGGGGTTCAGGGGCAGTGACTCCTCCTCCTCCTCGTGCTGGTGGTAGCGGAACTTGTACTTGTGGCAGGACTTGGCGCCGTGCAGCTGCTCCACCAGGAAGGTGACTGCGTCATGGTGCATGCCCAGCAGGCGCACCCCGTTCATGCCTGGGGAGACCCCCAGGCATCAGAGACCCGCATGGCCTTGAGCCCCGCCCCGTCCCAGAGCTGGCAGAGAACCCAGGAGTCCTGGTTCCCAGCTCTGCCCGCTCTAACCACTAGACCCCACTGCCCTCCCAGAACTGGGAGAGAACCCAGGAGTCCTGGCTTCCAGCCCCCCTGCTCTAACCCACAAGACCCTAGGCCAGGGCTCCCCACACTCACCAGCGAATGACAGGTGCTTGAGGCGGGCATTGGCTCGTGCCTCCTGCACCTTCTCAATCACAGCCTTCCAGGCACCTGGGGAGAGAGCAGGGGAGAGCATGAGCCCCTAGGCTGCCTGGCACTCCCACAGCCCTGTGCCCCATTCCCTACCCCTCCCTCCGCCCAAGCCAGCCAGTCCCCTCCCTGAGGCCTGATCAGAGCCGGTGCCCCTTGGAGGGGAAGGCCCAGTGTCCCTTTCCCCCACTAGCCAGTCCCCTCCCAACGGGGCTGCTCAGAGCCAGCATCCCCTGGAGGTGAAAGGCCCCATACCGTCAATGCTGTCAGCCTGCACGCTAAGGCCATCCTCACTGCTGATCTCGAAGCATAGGTGCGGCTGGCTCTTGGGTGGCGCCTCATTCTCCTTATCCTCGCAGTACAGGGCGTCCTCGTCGGAGCTGGACAGCTCCCCTAGGGGTAGAGAGTGAGAATGGGGCAGGGTGGGGCAGGGCACAGAGTCCTGGCTCACGTCTCCACGACACCTCCCACCCTGCTCCAGTCCCAGGCTCCCCTCTGCCTACCAGCCAAGCCCTGCAGCACGGCATCCCCCAAACCCCCTCACAGCATGGCATGATGCCCCAACCCCCCTGCCCCCCCATGGCACAGCACCACACCAGTCCCACTCCCCACACTGGCTGCCCAGGCAGTACCTGTGTAGCGGTGCCACGTGGGCTCTGGCGGAGGCTCCAGGCTGGGATCCGGCATGCGGGGGCTGCACTCCGGGACGAGGGAGGGATCCGAGGGTGACCTGCAGGGGTCAGGCAGAGAGAGCTCAGCACGGACAGGCCACCGGCCGGGAAGGTGGGGCAGGGTAGGGGGCCAGCAGGGCTCACACTCACCCTGTGCTGCCCCCATCGCTCAGCTCCGCCTGCTCCTTCAGCGCCACCAGCTCCAGGACACTCTTCACCGAGGGGGTCTTCATCCGCACCCGGCCGGGCCTACAATGCCAGCACAGCAGTGGACTTAGGGGGCAGGCAATGGCAGCTGTGGGTTGGGATCAAGGGGCCCTGGCAGAGCAGGGCAGGTTGTGGGGAGCCCAGGGCTAGGACAGGAGGGGGCTGTGGGTCAAAATTGAGGGGTACTGGCAGAGCTGGGGGGGGCGGGGTTAAGGCACCCCATGGCACAGATCTGACATGTCCTTACAGGGAGACATGCACTGGGCGGCCATGTCCCAGAATGCACTACTCCCCACAGCTTATGGGGTTGGGGTCACCTACCTGGGGCCCTGCGGGGGGCTGGTGAGGCCGTTCCTGCTCTGGCTGTCAGGGGTACCAGCTGACAATGCAGGGGGCAGCAGCTCCTCCTCTTCCTCCAGCTTGGGCCTCTTGGGGTGGGCACCAGCGACGGCAGAAACCCTCTTGGCACTGCTGGGGAGCTGGTGGGCATGTGGCTGGGGTGGGGGGACAGGCAGGTGGAGCAAGCCTGAGTTGAGGGCCAGGCGCTGCAGCAGGCAGGGCTGGGGCAGCCCCAGCGAGGGCGTAACCAGGGCCGAGGGGCCCAGGGTGAGCTGCCCCCCAGCACCTGGTGGCCGCAGCACATTCATCATGGGCACCATGCTGAGAACAGGCGCTCGGATGGTCCAGGTGGGCACTGGGCTCCTGGCCACGCCCAGTGGGGCTGCAGCACGGAAGATCACTGTGCCCAGGCTGGCTGGGGGCTGTGGGGGCAGAGCCGGGCCTGGCTTGGCAGGGGCACCCGGCCCCTCCAGGCTGCCCCCCGCCAGCGCCTCCTCCCCGCCCTGCATCTTGACAAACACCTGCCCCAGCTTGTTGACCAGGATGACCTTGGAGCCAGGCTTGGGCGGGGCGGGCGCCTCGGGGCCCAGCACCCGGACGCCCGGGCTGCCTGGCACCCAGCCCAAGGCACGGGCTGGCTCGGGTGCGGGGCCTGCCTCGCTGCCATTCACGCTGGGCTCCGGGGCCTTGCCCTCGCCCAGGTTCTTCAGCACAAAGTCCACGATTTCCGAAGGCAGGTCCTCGGGTGGGGGGGCGGGGCCAGCTGACCCCTGCTCCGCCCCTGGCTCCACCCGCTTGCCATTGGCACCCCGCCCCTCACCCTCCCCATCGTCCACCCCATCCAGCTGGTCGATGTGGGGTAGCGGTA